TTTTACCTTATCCTACATCGAATGTCAATAGAAAATTATAAGATGATTTTTCCTTTAAAAAGGAATATCATGATAATAGAAGTCACTATTGGGCTTGCTAGTAAAAATATGTGGGCCTCAAATTAGTTCAAATTTTTTTAAAGAACATTGATTTTTTTTTCTTCCTAATATTTATTAATTTCGGATCGGATTATCGGATCGGATATCCGATAACATAGCAAATCGAATATGAATTTAATAATCAAATATCCGTTGGATTATCGGATCGGATCAGATAATTTTCTTATCGGATCGGATCGGATCGGATATAGGCAGATCCGATCCATTTACAACCTTATTCACAAAGAGAAGAGATCACATGCATATAAATTATTTCTCATAACAAGTAATTGTTGCACAAACTAACAAGTAATATGCATACAAAATGTTAATGTTACTGGTCACAATCACAAATAGCACAAAAAACACATCTAATAGGTCCTATTCATGCATACATTCTATGAAATATGGTCTCTTGTTAAAAAATTATGATATGGTCACAAACAAAATTAAAAACTTATGAAATACAGATTCCTTTTAACACGTGTTTGGTCACAAACAATCACAGCTAGCATAGACATGGTCGAGGACAGTCATAATTAACATATACTTGGTCACAAATAATAACAATAAAACAGATCTGGTCATAAACAGTAACTGTTAACATATCTGATTACAAAAAACACAGAAAACACATCCAATAGGTCAGAAACAACAACAAAATCAGTAACATGTGATCACAGTCCTTTAACCAAAAGTTGAAACATCAATTTACAAGAAATTGTGTCTTTATGACTGATATATAACAAGCTCTCTTTCAAAATACATCAAATTCATTTTCAAACTAACCTGTCTGTGTGATCGATACATAAGAAAATGTTGTGCCTTGTTCTTCACTGTTTAGTTTTATTTCTCAAATTTGAAACATCATGACATCAAACTAATGCACTGTGATCACAGTCAAGTTAAAAAATTGATCATTAATGACACACTTAACATAAACACAACAATTGCATCGTCAAAATTAAATAAGATATATCAATACTTTCAACATTGATGAATCTAGTAAAACAATTATGTAAATCAGTAAACATTAATTGGGTTTGAAATTGAATTACTTATGACTAGATTGTGACTTCCAATTTGAAATTTCTTCCATTCGAATTGAGGATGATGATCGATTTTTTACTACTTTAATCTTCAAAAGTTTGAACCAGATAATTTTGCTCTTCGAAGTGATGATAATGATTGACTTGTAATTTCTTAATCTTCTCATTTTGTGAATTCAAAGCTGAAATTTTGTTCTTAGAAGTTATGGTGATGGTCGATCTGTGATCTCAATGATCTTCTACTTTTGGTTAATTGGATTTTCGACAAAGATGGCAGTGTTTTCGATGGCCGTATGACGGTGTGGGTTTGGAACTGAGTGTCGATTGGTTTTCTCTTCTGTAGAGTTGTGGAAAGAGTTTAATTTGGATGAAATTGGTAATTGAATGAAGATATGAAAATTGATTATAAACAAATCTGAATCCTCTATTTTAGGAATTGATAAATATATGGTTGAATATAATATATTATCATTTCAGTTTCCTATAATTAAAGAATAATAAATTTAATTAAATTATTATCGTATTTTTATTTATAACCTGATTTTTGAAATAAATTTTCAAGTTTATCAAATTTGAAAATGTATTTTGAAAGGTAGGTAATTGTGTATTTTCCCTAAAATCAAACCAATCCAATCCAAAACCGATCAAGCTTGAGTCGGTTTGGATTGTGTTGGTCGATTTGGGCTTTGGCTCAATTCAAGTTGGATTCGATTATTTTTCTGTTGAATTTTTACAATTTTTTTAAATTTTGAAATCCCTAGAAAACTTCCTTTGTTTTTAGCCTATATAAGGAATTCTTTCTGAAAAATAATGTATGAATAAGTTTAAAACTATGTGGCATTTTCATTTTAT